TGCAAGCAGGCAAGGAAGAGAAGGCCGAAAAATCCCCCACATCTGTTCAGACTCAAATACAGAATACACTAAAGAACAATTTTCCATCAAAAAATGCAATAACGCAATAATTGCAGAAAACTGGAGTAAATGCAAAACAGAATTACCGAATAACTACACAGCAGAGCTACTTTGGATTGCTATATATATATATACAGTATATATACAGTATATATATATATATATATATATATATATACAGTATATATATATATATAATATTTCAAAAATATATTCTTTTTTTTTATACAATATATTTGAAAATATTTGCTCTTCGGATCAGGACGAACTACTCTGCAGAGCATATGACTTTAATCTACAATACAAAAACAACACACAATGTAGTATTCCTTACATTTGGATAGTAAGAGGCATAACCAAAGAATGTAATCAAGTGTCAGGCTTGTGGCAAAAATCAAATCTGACTAACAAATGTATAACTGGAAAAGCACCGCCACAGTAGTGGAGAAGCAGTGGTAGATTTAGAGATCTTTTAAATAAACAGCCCTCTGCACCCTGCCACGCCAGCACTGCTCTTCTTAATCGCCTTCCAGTTGGAAACATTTCTTAAAGCCTTCCCAGCAGAGCCGACTCTGCCAAGAGCGGAGGTTCTTCTGAAAATGACCTACTACTGTGACTCTCTCCCTGCTGGAGAGAAAGCAGCGGCTCTGCCAGCATCTAAGCCTGTAACATACAGAAAATATAAAATACCGATTTAAACATCTGCAAAGGTAAAAAAAAATTTAATTTTCTTGTCAGGTAACAGCATTCTGACTGACATGAACTACGATTTATACGATCTCTTCCAACGCAGAGGTACTTGCGGAGCAGAATAAAACGTATTTTGTCTTTGCACGGTTGATTAATCTATTCCAAAGATTTGAGCTGTTTTTTGTGAGTCTCATTTTAAAAAACGAGACTCCAGAGGGTGATTCAGACACTCGTTGGACCACATCTCATCTAGAAAACAACAAAAATAAACTCCTTTTCTGCTGTAATACACTGGCATGGATGAGAGAGCGAAGCTGCGGGCTCAGGTGGAATCCAAACACATCTTGATAAAGTAAATATTTAGGGTTGCTCACCATTCTCCCCGCAGAGGAACCTGGGTGTGATATGAAATACAGCCAACCTTCCACAGACATCTCCAGCCCTGGCCACATGAAGTCCTCTACTCATGCCAAGAGCTCGGGCCTTTATAACTGAGGCTACTCTTTGTGCCCGACTCCCCTCCTCTCCTCTCCCCTCCCCTAAAAATCTCCTCGATGTCCTCTAATAAATATCAGCCACTAGGATCAACACATGAAAGCTAATGCTCCACTTAAGATTCTGACCCTTTTTTCCAAAACGCTCCCTGACACGAATAAGCAGCTGAATGTTTAAAAAAGGTGCGATAAATGCAGGACGGATGGCAAGCGAGGAAGAGAGGGTGATCAAAACAGCTTAATTAATCTGTTAAACGGGCACATTGGGAGCTGCCGCATTGGGACACGGCCATGACTGTGCCACTCAGGGCTGTCAGACTAATGTGGGGCATGCATTTCTGAGCTGAGCGAAAGAGCAAACACACTCTCCTGACAAAAATAAATAAAAAATATCCTCAGGCGGGCAAGCGCACGCACACACACACACGGACCCAGAGAGGACCGGTGGATTTACACCGCGGGGGTGTTCTGGGCTGTTTGAGAGCCCAGTAGCAGCACTTCAAACACAACGTGCCGGACCATGGAGAGGGGTGGAGAATATTTCAGTACTCATTACATCAGGACCTAGTTAGACTGGCTTGCCATGCACATGTAACTAGTAAAGATGAGCAAAACTTACATACTGAATGATATGAATCGTGAAAATAAATATCAGACTATGCATGCATTCATTTAGAGAACAAAACATTTATATATCAAAGTCATTTCAGGCCCAACTGAGAGAAAAAGGCTCTCAGTTCTGGAATATTTTGCACGGAAATATGAAAACTAAAATGCTCTCGTAAAAAAGCCAACACAGAGCAGGTATCATTATCAGCACAATTTCAGATGTTATAGTATTTTGTTGGTCAGCGCAGTCGAGTGAGAGTGTCTCCAATTGGCTCGACGCTTGGATCGGCCCTCCTCTTCTTTCCCGGGGGGGACTAATTGCGGCTCTAACGGAATGAATCGATGAGGAATGGGAGCAGGACAGCGTGTTGCCAGCTCAGGGGAATAGAGCCTCTCAGATCTCCCGCTGATGCTACTCTACACTGTTGGCAAATACTTCAAACTGGGTCTGTACAAACTAAATACATTTGATCAGTGAATATCTGGATTACAAAAAAAAAAAGATAATAGGCCCAACACTATATGAGTTTGGTTCATTTCCAATAAAACAATTAGCAATTGCTTTGTGCACTGAAATAGTAATGAAATAGTTGTACATAGCTTTTCATTACATATACATATATATATACACTTACTGTCTATACTATATTTGGGTATATTATATATAGAATCTAGAATCAGAAAAATAAATAAAAATAAATAAAAAATAAAAACCAAAAGTACATGTCAAAAAAAATATTTTTTCCACCAGCTCTAAAATTTGAGGCGGTTGCTGCTCACTGCAGACAGAATTGTTGTAATGGCAGCATACGGAACAGGCTCTGAGCTTAAAAGCTGTTTTGTGAAGCGCCTGTGTACAGCGAAGCTCAGAGCGAAAGGCCCCTCCGGCTGCCAGCGGGACTGCGGTGGAGACTGGCACATGCCTCATCTGTCCCTCTCACTCTCTCTCTCTCTCAGCCCAGCACACTCACTCAGACTACGGCCAGAACCTCTGTGCATGCTACACGCTCTCCCTCGAACGCTGCAGGCTGCTACATTACATTATCCTATCAGCAACAACAGTGAGCTCAAAGAGGCAGTGGACATGCCGAGCAGTTACAGAGAAAACCAAAGGCCTCCGCACTGCTGGCTCACAGTACAGCTTACACAACCCAGATCTGTAATGTAGCAGAGGTTATTCCATTTCTAAATATTTATCGCAACCTCAAGATCAAATGTGGTTTATAAATGTTCAGGTGGAGCACACTATTTTTAACAAGTTTTAGGATTTTACATTTTTTAGCTAAGCATGATAGTTTACCTGTATATTTCACTAAAACTACATTTGGTAAAGTTACACAACTCCAAAAGTGGACTATGGTTACTTCATGTTTACACAGTATATAATGAGTTTACTAATCAAAAGACTGCGTCTAGCATATAACTAGCGTCTGCCATAAAGAACCAAAAAACACCATGTGCATTGAAACATAGCCCCATGTAATTTATTTAATAATAAATTCAAGAGCTGGAGGGTGAGGCGTGTATTTGTACTGTTGCCTGTTTGAACACATTCAATAAGAGCTGAAAAGTACAATACATATTTGTGGGACTTAAAAGCCCAAATCCCAAAGGTTTTCCAGGCAGTTATTTAAACAAAGTATATGAACTACGAACTGAATTATACCACAAGATAAACTGCCAACAAAAAGTTTGACCTTTACAAATACCTTGACCTTTACAACTGCCATTTACATATTTTTAGTGTCAGATTGACAGGTAACAGACTTTCATTATGTCTGTCAGTAATATGGACTTTTTACCGAATCAAGCATATGGAACAATTTTCTTACCGAGCAGAGAACAAAAAATGTTTCCCCTCACAAAATCTTCTTAACTACAATTGCTAACTTGCAACAATGTTTGAGTTTTTTTTTTATATTTTAATTATTATTATTATGTAAGTTTCTAAGATAAAAAGTGGACATTGGTTAATCAGGGGAGTGGCCTTACTAAAACGATCTGAAATTTAAAACAAACCAAAGCAAAATTATTTAATTTCGCGGCAACTTTCTCATCAAAGCCACGATCAAAGCAATCATCAGCCATCTAAAATCCTAGTGACTCATGTCAATATACAGCAAGGCAATTTGAGACAGTAAGGTGACCTTAAAAACCCTCTGTGCCTGCCTAAATTCAGACAGCTGACAAAAATACTTTTAAAATACTATCACATTTACTTAAAACCTAGGCACTATCACAGTGCATAAAATGCTAAAATATTTTCTAACTGATTCAGCTATCACAAGCAATATGGGATTCAAATCAATTGTGATAAATTACAGGCAAAAGGCCGATGTCTGGCAAGTCAATGTTATTCTGTCCAGAATGCTTTTTATCTCTTTTTAAGTGACTGGCTGTCTAAAAATTAAACAGCCTAAAAAAATATTTCAATGGCCAACTTTTTGCTATATCCTATTAATTGAAAACTTAAAAAGCACACAAGAAAAGAGCTGAAACCACAGTAATTAGTCCGGATTGAATAGATATCATCCTAAATCTCTCTCAAAATACTGTAACTTTATATATTTTGTAACCAATAAAACAGTCAAAGTTTTAACAGTCTTAACACAGAATATAAACATTACTAATGCCACTCTCTTATAACGCTACGCATGAACTGAACTAGTCCTGGTGTACATATAGATGTGCTCATATAGGCTAAATATATCATTTTTAATCCACTTCAGATAAAAATACACAATAGTAAATTCTATAATATGAAATAATAAAAGTTTTATTTGATCCTAACTATGACATGTAACTTTCTCCTCTAGTTTATGATTAAAACTGAAGCAGATGTCTCATCACTCAACTGCACTGTCTACTCTACTGCACACAAACTCCATCTTAAATACAACGATAAACAACGACTCATATTACCTCGTCAAATTGATTTTCGACTTTGTTTACATTGTAAAAAGGTCAATAATAGAAATGTATAACAACCCAATAAACTAATATACATTTGAGGATACAGCTTAGTGTTATTTGAATGGATGTTAAATAGGCAAAGAGAAGCATAGTTCACAGCCCGCCCTTTATGAACTGAAATCTCGTCGCGGATCAGGAGCAATTCGTTCAGAAAGACACAAATAAGCACTTTACCTGAGTTAGACAGAGAGGAGAATACATCATGCTGAAAGGGGAGCGCGTGACTTGAAATGTGGCAAAACACCGACAAGTTAGTGGATCATTTTTCACAGTTAATCATGGTAAGCCTCATCATGATTAACACTTCCACCGCCGCCACTTCTGACTTCCACTTCGAGTCCGTTAAATCAAGAGACGCCCGGCAAAAGAGAACGCGCAAACTGTGTACACGTTTGAAACCAAACTTTGCAGGCAGGAAAACGCGTGGGGTGCTGCAATCTGTTCCATTTAGGAAATGGTGGGAGAAAGAATCAAAGAAAGAGAAAATGAAAAAGAGGGAGGAATGAAATGACGTTATGAAAATAGCCCATCCCAAAGAAAGTAGCCTACTTGAAGGAGCAAGAGAGGCTAACCCTGGTTTCCACTGTCCAGGGGCATCCGTTGAGTCCGTGAAATTAACCAAAAAAAAAAAAGTTATGTGCCTCGGTTTCTGAAGCTCCTATGGTGCGAAACAAAGTGGTAAACGACTCCCCCCCCCTCGCCCCTCGCCAGTGCGCAC